CCCCGGCGCACACCCCCCAGCCACACCTCCTCTTCCTCTTAGTCGTCCTCTCTCCTCGGGCTCAGGTGCAGGCGGGGCCGCCTCCCCTGGCTTCCTGATTGCGAGCCCTCGAAGGTTCCTTACGTCCAAGAGATCCTCTTTGCACCCTGCCAACTCCTCCTTTGAAGAAATGGCTTCTCTTCGGAAGGAAGCTTGTCAGGTTGATTCTAAAGATAGTTCTTGTCACTCTATGAACTCTGAATTTGCAACTGAAGCTGAGGGTCAGAGTGATGCTATGGAGGAACCTAACAAGTTCCAGAAAAGGAAGAAGGACAGGCTTCGAGACCAGGGCTCAACAGTGATCTACCTAAAGGCCATCCAGGGCATCCTGGGGAAGTCAGTGCCCAAGAGGAAGGGAGAGGCTGCCACCACTCAGGTGAAGACAAGCTTGGGAGAGTATCCAAGCAGGGAAGGACCAAGAAGGAATGTGGAAGGACCATCCAGAAGCAGGGAAGGACCCTTGGCCAGGAGTGGGGAAGGACTGGCCATAAGCAATGAAGGACCTGCCAAGGGCATTGAAGGACCTGCCAGAAGCAATGAAGGACCTGTCAGAAGTATTGAAGGACCAGCCAGGAGTATTGAAGGACTGGCCAGAAGTGTGGAAGGACCAGCCAGGAGTATTGAAAGACTGGCCAGGAGTGTGGAAGGACCAGCCAGGAGCCGGGAAGAACTGGTTAAGAGTGTTGAAGGACCAGGTGAAAAGGTTACAGTCACTGTACCTCAGAAGGAAGAGTCACCTACAAAGGTCAGGGGGAAGAAGAAGGAAGAGTCTATGCTAGACCGGAGTAGCTTCTGTAACAGAAGAGTGATTATAGACTCTGTGAAGAAGTCTAGTGAGGAGCTGCTTGGTGACCAAATGACAGTCATTGACAAACCCTCTCCAGTCCTAGAATTTTTTGATAACTCTGACTCTCATGCAGATATTCAAAAGCACACAGACAGAGAGGTGGTGATTGAGCATCCCTCTTCAGGGAATGACTGGTCACATGTGGATGAACTGGACACCGTGAGGTTCTCCCAAGAGGAGCCTGTCTTGCTGAAACACTCAGCAGTTCCAGAATCTTCTTCCTTCCCCACTGACTATGTTATGTACCCTCCTCATCTGTATAGTAGTCCATGGTGTGACTATGCCAGCTACTGGACTAGCAGCCATAAGACTCCTGGTTATCCATTGGTGGGATCCAGCAGCCATGACTCAGCACAGACTGGGAAGAGCAGCCAGGACCTTTTGAGTGTTCATTCCTCTAAGTCCACAGTGAATACCCAGAGTATCTCCAAAGACCTGGACATTGCCCAGGAAAGCAGGTCCCAGAATTCCCATTCACTTCAATTCTCCAGAAGCACAGAGGAGGAGGTAAAGGGGAAAAGGACATTCCAAGAGGAGACACCACCTCGCCACACCAGAGAACATACATACAGCTCCTTGCCAAGGAGCCACAGGGAGATGAGCTGGGCAGTGTAGGAAGTACCAGTAGATGGTACCTTTTTTTACAATTCTATTGTATAGTTTATAGGTTAGAAGCGAAGAATTAGAGGCAGAAGTACCCAGAAGTAACAGACTGAAGGGCCACTAATTAGATGCTGTGATTTTGCTTTCTCTCAGGTTTTTGAGAGGCAGCTGAAGCTGGCTGTGTCTCTGAAGAAGCCCTTGGTCATCCACTGCCGTGAAGCGGATGAAGATCTGTTGGACATCCTGAAAAAATTTGTGCCCTCTGACTACAAGATCCACAGGCACTGCTTCACTGGCAGCTACTCAGCCATTGAACCTTTGTTGAGGTACTTCCCTAACATGTCGGTGGGCTTCACAGCAGTACTGACCTACTCCTCCGCCTGGGAGGCCCGGGATGCCCTTAGACAGATCCCATTGGAGAGGATCGTTGTGGAAACAGACGCACCCTACTTCCTCCCTCGACAGGTGCCGAGGAGTCTTTGCCAGTACACCCATCCAGGCCTCGCCTTGCATACAGTTCGAGAGATTGCCAGGGTCAAAGAGGAGTCACTGTCCCGTACTCTGGCGGTCCTCCGGGAGAACACCAGTCACCTCTATAGTCTTTGAGCAGGGAGCAGGCATCTTCTGGCAAAGGATGACCAGTGCCTGATAGTTTAGCATGGGCTCCATCTGCCTGTCCAAGGTGAAGGATGTGTTGGAGATCCTGTCAAAACTCTGCAGGCCAGGATGGGATGTTACCCTTGGAACCTAATCACAAGGCTTCACCTGCTGTTTGGTGGATGGGTACTTTGGAATGGGTTGGGAAGAGGGGTAGTTTTGCCTGCTGGCGACATGGCCCCAGGGTAATCAGTGAGCAAAAACATTGGCGACATAAATACAATGAGTTGGCCAGTCTGGATACCTGCCCAGTGGTCTGGGTTTCCCAGCAGTCTGAAAAAGTCACTTCTTTGTCTTAGCACAAAAAAGATGAAAATCCCCCCAAAACAACCTGAAGTTCACAAGGACACATAACTGAGGTAAAAAATATAAATCAGCTCATTTGTTACTAGCTAGGGTTAGTTGATGATGAGAGGTGATGATTAATTCCTTAATCCCACTTCTGCCCTTAATCTCCTGATAAAAAGAAAGTATTGCTGAGTGGGTATGCACCCTAAAGACTTAAAATACAGATGGCTGGTGTTTTTCCATGTATAAAGCTTATATTTGTGATTCCTTTTAAGATAAACTTTCAAGCTAGGTAGTAAAACGATTGATTCTTTCTTTGTAAATGCAATGTTCAGCCTGCCAATGAAAGAGTTGGTTGTGAAAAATACTTTCTGCTTGCTCATGTTCTGTTGATCTGTAACAAGTTACTTACATGTAAATTATGTGGGTTTCAATTTCAGCCGTGTGCTGCATGGAGGCTGGCTCCTTGGGCAGTGATAAAAATATTCATAGGATTGCTTTCATGAGATCACATAGCTATAGTTCAGTAGCCCACTGTAGCATGAGTTCAAGTCTAGGCTAGGCTACAGCCTGAGTTGAAAGTCAAGGCTAGCCTGGGATATATAGCAACATCCTTAAAAGTTTTTTTTTTTTTAAACTGGGAGTACCCTACACATAAGTAGCAGTAATTGTTGTAGGATAGAGACTTAAAGACCAATTAGCATGAACAAAGTCTGAAATGAAAGTCTGTATTAAGCCAGCCTGAGACTGCCTGGAGAGAAATGTTGTGGCGTATCTACCAGAAAAAATTATTCAGACTTGAGTTTAAGCCAATACAAAGTGTTTATTAACCAGCCAACAACTACACTGGGTGTTCAGGGACCTGGTGTATCCCTGAGCCTTTCTGAGGGTGAGCCTAAGTACAAAAAAACCACAAATATGTTCTGGGTTGGCCTGTGTTAGAATCAGAAGTGAACAGGGTAGAGCACTGTTGCTTTAAGGGGAGGCTGAAATGATATCATTTGGAGGTTAGGAGCTTTGGAAGTAGGGACACCCAGCATCTGTTCACTGTCCCTCTGCACCATGGATGACTGGAAGATTACAGACAGTCTCATGGCTGATCCTAAGAAATACAAGGGTGAACACAATACATGTCTGGTTTTTCTCTAGAACCATTTAAATATCTGCAAGAGTGGGAGAAAAGATTCAAGTACTCGTCTGTTTCTGAGATAGAAGAAGTATACACTCTAGAGACCTCAACAAGTGTTAGATTCCGCTCTGGGGAGGAGGGACAATATGGCTTCTGGGCAGGAGGTGCAGCTCAAGAGAGAAAAGCCTGCCTGTGGACTGGATGGGTGTTGGTTTAGTGTCTGTTTGAAGCAGCAGGACCCCTGCCAGAGTAGCTGCCAGTGCCCTGTGTGCCACACAAAAGGAGGGCAGGGAAGAGAAGTAGGAACATCCTAGATATACTTGGGCTGCTTGCTTCTTCTGATCTTGTAAATAACCTCATAGAAGTTTCTCTTAGAGTCTAGGGCTGAAATGAAATTCTAAGCCTAGGCAGAACCAGCTGTGTCTGGGAAACCATTGTCATTCCCTAGGGACTTACCCTGCCTCTCTTGTACATAGTCAGGGGTGGGTCGGTGGGTCGAGGACAGCATGGCAGGGGGACAAAAAGAATGTGTGACTCCCCTCTCCAACTAGGAAAGGTCCTGAGATATAGAGGGCCTACTTATGGTGACTCAGCATTGTCAGCTCGTGGAAGGAGACCTTGCCATCCTGATTAAAGGACATTTCCTGATAATGTACGCCAGTATCTTACTATTCTAGAAGACACATGGACAAATGTATTGAGACTTCACCTCTTTATTGAAAACACAAGTGCTGAGGGGAATATGGGTAGAATAATAGGTTGCTGGTGACAGACAAAAGAGCATCTGCATCTGACTGCGGAGCAAGAATGAAACTCTAGGGCTCTTTCACTGTCTTCAGGGAAAAGTGGTCTGCTTATCAGGAAGAGCATCTCTGGGCCTTTATTTACAGCTTTTGTTATTTCCTGTATAGTTTGCTCTTCTTCTTAAACCAATTCTACAATGGGTGAAAAAGAAAGTGGCTTACCATATAAATAATTAGGATAATAACCTAAAAACACACCCATGTACTTTATCTGCCAGAAGACCTTTCTTCCTCACTGCTCTAATTTTTCGAGGGGCTGAGTGTGTGGAACATGGTTCAGTATCCCCAGCACTGCAGAATAGTCCCTGGACAAATGTGCAAAGGTTGCAGGCCCTTTCCCCCTCTCTCCTGTAGTGCACACTGGAGGAAGTTAGCAGCACTGTCAGGCAGATGAACCAGCGTGCTTCAGACAATTATAATGCTGGCTGCTCTTATCTGTGTGTCCTCACCAGGTGCTTCAAACAGCAGGAGGACCGCACCTTTGGACTCTGTGCTCGCCCATTCCCAACAGTCTCTGTTTGACCAAGTGTACTCCAGCTTTATGAGGGTGGGGTTCTGACTGTGAACTATCCATACACTCAAATTGCCTTGGTCAGGATAGAATTTATGTGTAGTTTATAGTATTTCAAATAGTCTAGGATCATGGAAACCCTAGCTACACCAGTTTGTGTCCTTTATATCTCATAACCCCAGAGAGATGTCTCCACAGAGACATTCTACTTAAATGTTAAAAAGAATTGTACAAGATATATACATGCTTATATATCTTATTTACCTATACAACTGCATGTGCCTATAACATATATGCATTTTTATGACTCCAACACATATATTTACAATTGATCCATAGGATAAGTGTGTGTAATATATATGCATTTAGGGAGTGAAAGTAGCTTAGTACTCACTCCTTTTTTGTTTCTTTAGGAAGTTGTGTTCAATCTTGAAATGATCCATTTCTATATGGTAAGGCTATCTTATTCCACTTTCTACCTTTTTTACAAAGATCACAAGTCAAACTGACAGGGCTAGGGAGATGCTGCAGTAGGGTAGAACATTTGCTGCTCTTGCAAAGATCCTGTGCTTGGTTTAGAGCACCCACATTGGGAGGCTCACAACTGCCTACAACTCCAGCTCCAGATGATCTAATGTCCTCTTCTGGCCTCCAGCACCCACAGATATGTTGTATAAACAGACAATACATACATACATACATACATACATACATACATACATACATGTAAATAAAATAAAAATAAAATCAGTCTTTAAAAAGGTAGTTTTGGGCTGCGCAGTTTTGGTTCATGCCTTTAATCTCAGCACTCCAGAGGTAGAGGCAAGTGGATCTCTGTGAGTTCAAGGTCAGCCTGGACTACAGAGCAAGTCCAATCTATAGAGCAAGTTCCAGGACAGCCAGGGCTAAACAGAGAAACCGTGTCTCAAAAAAGAAAACCAAAGTAAATAAATAAATAAATAAATAAATAATAAATATAAAGGTGCTTTTGATGGTTGAAGAGATGGTTTAGCAGTTAAAAGTGCTGGTTGATCTTCTAGAGGACCTGGGTTTGATTCCCGGTACCCATATGGTAGCGTACAACCATCTTTAACTCTAATCCGAGGCAATCTGACACCCTTTTCTGGCTTCTTCAGACACCAGGCAACACACGTGGTGCACAGACATAAATGCAGGCAAAACAACCATGAACGTAAAATATAACAACAAACACAACATTTTTTAAAAAGGTATTTTTTTTTGTAACAGTGTGAAGTCAGCAACAAAACATCAACTTCATGGACACAATAAAAA